AGGAGCAAAGCTTTTCCTCAATCACAGATTTCAGAAAATAGGAAAGCAAAACAATTACTTCAATACTTATTCCACTATTTCAGTAGTGATTATTTAGAAATTCCAACTCGCAATAATATAGTTAGAGAAAATATGAATGGATTGACTTCAATTCTTGAACGAGCCTTAGCTAACCAGGAAAATATACCTTTCATACCTACTGATATAGAAGAATCTAACGAATATATCAATAGAACCCTCTATTATATCTTATGTTTATATGGCTCACTTATCAATAGTTAGAAAGCAGTGGTAACTATTACAGGTATTAAAGTTTTCTTTAATATCTGAATTCCTGACAATAAAGATATATATCTGTTTGAAGGTGAAATAAAAAATATTCTTGCTAATAAAAAGGATGACAAGGAAAAAACTGTAGATGTAAGTAAAATCAGAATAGAGCATATAAAAGCATTCCTAATTCGTGGTTACCATACAGAAAAAAAGTTATATCTATGAATTTATATGACAAACATTTTCTAAAGAAAAATAGCTTTTAATATTATCCAAAAGCATAACTTGGAAACTGCATCAGATGATTGTAGTACATATTACTGCAAAGTCATTCATGAATACTGAATTTCTCTTACAGAGTAGGAAGTAATAAACAATTACAGTTATACTAAAAGTTCTTCTTTTTGTTTATATGCATTTAGAGTATCTGTAAAGAATTTTCATTCCATAGAAGACTTAGATGAAATAAGCAATTTATTTTTAACTTCATATATGATACATGATTGAACTCTAGTACTAACATAGGATATAGAAACCCACACAGAATGTGGAGTAGATCAATTACCTTGACCATAGCATTCAGAGAATAATGTATTTATGATTTGTATGACAGTTCACTGGAGAGATGACCCTACTCCACTGAAGCAAATCTGTCTTATTGATGTAGAAACTAAGCCAGACCCAAATTGGATCACAATCGTATGTAGAAATCAAACAAATTTATTAAAAGTATTTACGCTATGTTGGTGAGCACTAGCACCAGATATTGTAATAGGTTTTAATAATTCAGACTATAATTGGCCTTTTATTGTAGAGAAGGCTAGCTAACTACATATTCTTGAATGGATGTGGTTACAAATGTCTGCAAACTTACAACAAAGTACAAACAAACAGATTTTATATTAGAATTATTATAAAAATATGGAGAAAAGCTCAGGTTTTATGGGACGTTCTTCAGATATTACTAGAAACAGTCATAAAGTGGTTAAAGAAAACGAATATGAAGAAGAAGATTTTAGTCAGCTAGCAGTAAAAATTAAGATAAGTCAAGAAGAGTTCTTTATTTCTTCTTTTCTGAAGTTGCCAGAATGTGTTCTAATTGATATTCATATAAGTTTCAAAAAACTATATTCATGATCTGAAGTACAAAAAGGAAGCTTACTCAAGTTTTATTTAAAAATGTATAGTCTCAGATATAAAATTGATATGCCAATAAACTATAGGTGGGATTATTACAAAATAGCAAAAGAAAATAATTCTATAGAGTTTGAAAAACATATGTGTGAGGTAGCAGAATACTGCATTATTGATGCTCTATGATGTTAACAGCTTATGGTTAAGCATAATGTGATAAACAACAATAAAGAAGTTGTATCAATTGCTTATATTTCTCTATTCGATACCCATTATCATGCAAATAAAATAAAGGTATGTAATCTCTTAGGCAATGAAGCCTAGAAGCAGAATATACTAATTAGTATGATACTACATAAAGATGTCAAATCTGAAAAATATCCTGATACCCATGTATTTTTTCTAGTAAAAGGCCTCAATAATAAGCGTCTAGTTACAGGTTTGGATTTCGCATTATTATATTCATCTATTTTTATAACTTATAACTTTTCACCTGAAATGATGATATTAGAGGATAAAACAGCTACTGAACTACAACAGAAAGGAATACATCTCCATAAAATTGAATTCACATTTAATAGTTGAATATTATAAGCCTAGTCGGTATTATATAAAAACAAGATCGATAAAAAAGGTTTGTATCCATTAGTTCTAGAAAAACTTCTGGATAAGTGTAATAAAATGAAGTTCGATCTTGGTATTCTAGATAAGAAAAAAGAGTATATAGAATTGGTTATTAGAAAAATAAAAGAAAAGAATTTATCATTAACAGATACTATAGATAACATCTTGGATAACGCAGAAAATAAAGAAGAATGTTCTGCTAAGATTGAAATCTTAATTCCTTTTAGTAAAGATTATAACGTTTTTATAACAGAATATGAATCTGTATGTTTTGACTATTTCTGTTTGGATTTGAAACAAAAGGCAGTAAAAGTTTATATGAATTCATTTTACAGTGAGACAAATAATAGTCTATCCCTGTTCTTTCTATGCCATATTGCTGAAGCTATTACTTCAACAGGTCAGTTCAATATTAAGCTTGTTGCAGAATACGTACTAAAAAAAAGATATAAAATTCAATATGGCAATACTGATTCATTATATCTTACTTGTCCTGAAGATAATTATAAGAAATATGATTTAGCTTATAGAAACAATTTAATTTCAACACTAGAGTATTAGACTAAAATAGTTAATATTAGCATAGAAGTAATGGAGAAATTACATAATGAAGTGAATACCTATCTTAAGATAAAAAATAGATCAACTTATCTCAAAATAGCTTATGAGGAGATATTATTTCCTGTTGTTTTCACTGGTAAAAAGAAATATTTTGGAATTCCTCATGAGAAAAAAGTAAACTTTAAGCCAAAAAAGTTATTTATTAAAGAGATCGATACTGTGAAGTAGGGACAATCAAAACTCTTTATAATTATTAGTGAATGAATTATATAGAAAGCTATAGAAGTCAAGGATAACTAATCACTCTATAAAATTGTTGAAGATGTTCTCAGAGATGCTGTAATAAATTCTAAACAATGGGAGTTTGACCAGTTCATCCAAACTGATATGTGGAAACCTAATGTTCAAAACTTAACTGTTCAGCGGTTTATAGAGTGAATGAGAAAAACCTAAAAGATAAGATTCCTGAACTGGGTAAGTGTTTTAGTTATGTAATACCCAAAACTGATATAGATTTTGATTTATCTGGTAAAAAGTTAAATCTAACTAAAGACGACCGAATAGAATTTGTTGATATAGTAAAGGAACTCAAAAAGGATATAAACTTATCATATTATCTCCAAAATAAAATTATTGGCCTTTGTGTTAGATTTATCAACTATGATGATAGATACTAACTACTGCTCTCTAATAAAATCTAGCAACTCAAAGACTCAGAGGAGAAATATAAGCAAATTGATGAGTATTCTTAGAAAAAAGCCAAAAAATAGCTTGAGAAATATGTAGATAGCTTGAGTAGTATTAGTCTGAAAATGATGCTTAATCGTGAATATGCTTACAAATGTGCCTACAAGAATGCAATCAAAACTGTATAATCTATATTACATCAGAAGATAGATAATACCTACGAAATATTTTATGAGGAATAGCTTAATTTTAAGGATTTTAAAGCAACTAATACTGTTGAAAGATTATGAGAAAAGTTTGTAGAATATACCAAAGCATATACTAAGAATGATAATCTCTTAATAAGTACTGAGACAAAAAATCTATATGCTCTAACTTTACAAAATGCCTAAATGCACTTATCCTATTTATCGAGAAATATGATACCTTTTTCCATCATTTAGTATATCATATGCAATATAAAGAACACATATCTATCTCAGATAAGATTAGATGACCTGAAACTATGAGAAAATATGAGATAGTTGTTGAGCAACCTATTATACTCAATATAATGAAAGCTGATTGACTAGCACTTAACGATTTTCTAAATACATGAAAGAAGGCAGTCAGTTCAATATAAATATATCTTTATATTAGTGATACTTATACAATATTAATAATATTTTTTCATACATAAATAATATCCAAGTTTAAATAGATGTTCACCTAATCCACATATCCTGCAATCAATCACTTTTTTTATGACCCTTTAGAGTCACTCTTTCGGACCTGCTGAGCAATAGTGCTTCAAGTCTACCTATATTTTATATATGTCTCATGAACTACATAACTGCAATAATTAACAAAATAAGAAAAATATATACTAATAGTGGTGATATCAAAGTGCTTGCTACAGTAGGAAAAGGCAAAGCTTCAGGACAAGGCCTCATTTGAGAATTCGATTCATTTAAAGCAGATATATTATTATCTAGTTGTATAAGGTATAGAGTTATATTTTCAGATATAATCTGTGATATATTGGGTTTTATCGATATATCTAGTATATCATTCTTGTTAATTTTACTAATGTTAGTTCTATCCTTTACTTCTGAATTAACCTCTGTATCAATTTTTGGTAGTTCAGAAATCTCATCATTAACGAAGCAAGTACCAAAAGTACTAGTTTGTGCTGAGATATCATTATTGATTTTTTTAGCTTGATCTATACTTTTTCTGCATACAAAATATTGTCTGAAATTTTTGCTAGGTGAGGCATAGCCTCGAATCTCTGATTCCTCAATAACTGCAGATATATTATTAGACTTGGGTATATTTTTTTCACTGTTTTCACCAAGTATGGAGTTTGATATAGCCTCTGATTTCAGACACTCAAGTTCACTGATTTTCGAAACTAACTCATATTCTACTTCAACTATTTTAGACTTGAGAGATAAAATCTTGAATTTTTTTTTCGATGAGTCATTTTGAATTAAAATCACATCTTTCTGAGCTAAAGACAACTTACTTTCCAATATCTTGATTATAAACTTGAGTAATTTAATTTTCTTAGATTTTGTAATATTCTCAGCTTTGGATTCAGTAATAAAAATATCCTTTTATATATTATGAGAAATAAGATTAGTATTTTTATTTTGTATTTGCTTATGCTTATTAATAACCTGCAAAATATGAGTATGTAACTTTTGAATCTCGCTATTATTTCATAACGAATTCTGATTCTACTCCTTTCTTTCTCGATCAAATGCTTTCATTTGCTTTATATATTTATCCTGCAATTTCTCACTAAGCTTATTAATTTCTGCTTTGGACTTAATAGTGTTGTGTATTTTTTTTTCTAGCTCTTCTTCGCGTATACTACTAAGTCGATAGCCTTTAATATTTTGTAATGTATGTATATTAGCCAACATATTAGCATCTTGTACTTGCTCTGCTAAATAATAGATAATATATAAAAAATGAATAAGATGCAAAAGTAAAATATATCTTTAGTAAATATTATTTTTTTATATATCTGTATATTTTTAAATATAATAAAATATTTCAAAACATTCTAAGATATTTTGGAATATTTGTATATTTTTCATTATATATCAACTACTATATGTATAACTAATATTTCAAAATATTTTGAAACTTTTTGAAACTTTTCTTTAATATAATAATAAAAATATTTTTGCAAAGCAGAACATTTATGCAGTTGATATGGGATGTATCCATAAAAAATATTATAGTGCTAATGCAATATTTCTTTTGGATGAAGTGATTCAAGAAATTAAAGGATCAATAGGTATAATATCTGATGCAATAAATACAATAGCAAAAAAATATCATATATTTCACTCTCGTTTTATTAATTATATAGAAAATCGAGAATACTGACAACAAATAAATTCTCGATTATGAATTAAAAATGAGGTTTTATTGCAAAGCAAGTCCTTAGATAATTTTTTGAATTATAATTCTTTGAACCTATAACTAGAATCTACTACTCTTAATACAGAAACAAAAAAGAGAAGATCTAAATCTCAGACTAATTCTGTATTATATAATAATGAGCTACGCTTTCATATATCTGATTCAACACCTACTAATAACTCTATAGAAAAAATAAGTAGTGAGAATCTGGATGCATTATATGAAAAAGAAGCCAGAAGAGATGAGAAAAATAAAGCAAATATAACTTGCCTATTAGCTACTACTTATTCTATCTTTTTTTATTTATGCTATTATCTCTAGAGGAGATATGTTCGAGTAGCTTTTCATAACATATTTGCAACTTTTCACAAAGATTATTTATTTCAGCTTTAGAGGCGAGGGTAGTATATAGTGATTTTTCTAACTCCTTATAGCTCATGTATTTTTTTAAATAATGAATCAACAGAATCTGAGCTAAAACCCGCAGGAGCATGCTATTCCTCCAATGGTATACTGTCATCCTTATTACTATCTACTTCTTGTGAAATTTGATCAGATGCCAAAGGCTTAGATATAATAGTATCTTCATTATGTGAGCTATCTTGAGTTGCAGTAGCATAATTTACTTCGAGCTTATTCTTCACTTTATGCATAGTTACAGAAAAAATATGATCCTTTCCATTGTAATGAATTTTCATTTTATCATTATTCCAATCAATAACACATTCATATTTCTTGAGAAGTTAGTTTAAAAAATTTTAATATTGGCTTGAAATGTTTCACAACTACAAAATCCTCATATATAGTATAATCAGGAGTTAGTGTTATTAGTAAATTATGAACGATACCAATAGACTCAATTAGAATGGTAGCAATACCACTAAGGTCATACTTCACAGATTTATTAATTTTTCTATTTATATGCTTAACAATATCTTTTGTTACGATCTTAGTTTTAGCCCTACTATCAAGTATAATTGCTGAGATTTTTAAATGCTTAATTTTGCATGGTATAGTTACAATACCTGTATTGGATTCTTTCTAACAAACAAAATTAATTTCTATAGAGTCATCCAAAGTCTCATCTTCATCTGAATTGGATATCTTTGGAGCTAGTTCTTGATAATTATTATCTTGAATATGGTATGATTTTTCATTATTAAAATTGAGCTCCTACAATAATGAAGGTAAAATATCTTTAAGTTCACTTTGGATAATTTTACAAATAGTTTGTTCTAAAACTATTTGCTTACTCCTACTCTTCTTGTGAGACTTAGGTTCTTTATCGATCTTGTGAGATTTGAATACTTTCTTAGATAATAATTTGCTCGAACTACTCTTCTGGTTTACTTTTTTTTTGTCCTAGTAATGTTAATATTTATACTCTTAGTTTCAGAGGAAGTGTCATTAGAATCAAACCCAGAATCAGAATTATTATCAGAAGAGTTAGAATCTGAATCAGAACCAGAATTATTTATAGCTATATTAATCTTACCTTTTTTATTCTTGCTAGATCTCTTGGAATTCTTAGATTTCTTTCTAGAACACTTATGAGAATTGTGTCTAGTTCTATTACAATTTGAACACCGGTGTTTAGATGATTTAATAACAGCATGAACTCCTGCCTCAAAACCTTTTGACAAAGCCTTATTTATTGATAACTTACTCATACAATCAGCCAGTTCTTCATCAGAGTTTACTTCAATATTTTTCTTTGATTGTACTGGCTTTGCTGAAAACATATCTGACACTTTTTTATAAAGATCATTAGCTAA